CTACAGGGTCTTGTAATTAAGGACACAGGTAAGTCATAGTTACATGCTCCATGCAGATCAAAACTCCGTTATTTTAGCGTGGGTGCATGAAAACTTGTAACATCGGGATCTATTTATTATTCGTGTAGAAGTTTAAAACACTCAAAGGAAGCAAACAAAAAAAAAAAAAAAATAATAATAATAAAATAAAATGACATTTAAATTAAAAAAATTTATTTAATATGATTAAAAACAAGAGGATAAAGAATGTTAACAGAGACACTTTATTGGCTTGACAAAAACAGTTTTATTAAACTTTAAACAATGGCTTACTCTTGATTTTCAGGTAAAACTCGAGTGTTAATTGATCACAAGGATCTCACAAGTTATTCAATGATCTTTCTAAACAAGTTTTTCATTCATACACATATAATAGTAAGCAGATACGAAAAAGAAAACATTTTTCCTGGTACTACGTATTTCAGAGCAGATCAGTCCCACATCCTTTAGCAAATACTAGTACTCTTTAAGTCAAAGAACTACAGTTGAGCTTCGGTATCTCTAACTCTGGTATCTCAAATACTATAGATATGTCAAACTGATTTGGAAGTCACAACCACTTCTTCAAGTATTTCACCCTCGATATCTCTAACCCTCAGATATCTCTGTTTTTTCTCAGTCTCATCAAGTTAGAGCTTAAAGCGTAATTTACAATCCAGTATCAAGAACAATTATAGATTAGACTTTCTTCTGCAGGAAATTCTATTCCTGGCGAACGTTCGATAAGCAGTTATTTTTCTTCCCAGGGCTGAATGGGTCTCTGCCATAGTAGAGTCAGAATGATGAAAACAAAACACTGAAAAAAAAATTACTTGATATTACATACATGAAGTAGCAGAAGCAATGATCAATTGAAAATTCACAAAAATCACTCATCTATTTCTGAAAACATACACATATGCAACTAGTATGACCAATTTTTATTCTGCTCTTGTTGGATATATACCTCTAACCTTAAAATTTTTTTAAGAGGGGCAAAAGTACTTTTTGGGCAAACTTGGTAAGGTTTTATTTATTTATTTATTTATTTATTTTTGAATATATGGAAAGGCAAAGAATTTTCTATTCCAAAAAAACAGCTCTAAATGCAACAGACTTTTTTTTCATTAAGGTAGACGGACCATCCCTCAGAAAAGGTCAGTTTCTTTGTAATGTACATAATATTAGAAGAATAATAAACATGATAAAGCCTATTTTCTACAATTTATCCAACTTAATTTAGCATTTTCAGTCAAAAACGCAATCACCATTTTGGTTTCATGAGAATTCATACCATTAAACGTAGGTCAGAAAATAACCATTATAATTTAATATTTTTTGTAATATTATTTAAACTTAATATGTATATATATTTCATAAAACTGTGTACATTTCTTTGATCAGCCCCTCATTTTGCAAAAAAAAATCACTATATTCGGTTCGACATATGTTAAAAAAAATTTTCATCATTTGGACAAGAGTGTATTTGAACATCTACTGATGTGTACGATGGGACCTGAGGGATGACCTACCTTAATGACTTCCCTAAGTAAAATCTTTCCTCACTCTAGTTCTCTTAGCTCTAGCTGACGTTATCTTGCTTCCAAGAGTTTGGTGAATTGTTGTCAATCTTGTGTCCGAATATTTTGTACAAAATTCTGCAATATTAGTTTTTGTTTTAAAATTTATTTTAATGTATGTCCAAATATTTCTGCTCTTTTTATCAATATGCAAAAAAGTTTTGTTGAAAATATTTCTAACTTGCAATTGTATATGTTTCATTTTTTTTTTATTAGCTTCCTTATTACGTGTGGGTCTCTGTCCTAAATTATAAAATTTAGGAGTGAAGAACAGAGATATACCAACCTTCAATGGCATATATAATGGACTTGTTAAGTGGAACATATCCCTGGTATACATTGCAGTCTGAGTCTGTATTTCTGATCGTGGCATTAACAAGTTCGGATTTATTGTAGAATATACTCAGTAAGTATCGGGCTGCAGGTGTTCCATCTCGAGACTGGGTCTTCTCATTAAACTTGATTTTATTCATGGCTATTTCGTACTGCTTCTGATACAAACAGACTGAGGTATTTGGAGCAAGTTCTACCATCTGTTTAGAAAGAAAACATATTTGTAGATCTTACTTTCATTGAAAAAAACTTCACTTATAAAATAAAGTAAAGAAAATGAAAATGTACCCATACTTACCCCGTAATTGCGAGCTTCACTGACATCCCAAACACCAGGTCGTGGCATGTCTGCATGTCCTTGCAAATTTATTTCTGAAAAAGTTATGCATGCTTTAGATAAAAAATTTGAATCTTGTAACAGTAAATAAAACAAAATGAACTAAAACAATGAATGTTTCACTGTAAAGTTTTTATTCATTCAGATAAAATCTAAAAGAAACTTACCATTTACAGTTAACACAGAGTTAGGTCCCTTTCTTCATTGTGTTCATCGAAATAAAAAAAAGACTCCAAGGAAGTGAAAGCTTTCAGAGGTGAAAACTTTACAGGATGCATTCACTATTTTAGTGTTTGAATTCTCTATTACCTCTCTACGAGGCAATCTCAAGTCTCATCCTCATACAATCAAATTTAAATGCGTTATATATAAAGTGATTTTCTCAATACTGCTCTTACATTTCCACTAGTATAAGAATAACAAACAACAGGTAGAGGTTTTATTAGTATATTTCACAATATTTTTTCAATACATTCATTGTAGTTTGGTACTAAACAATGCTAAAGATATGTAACATACATGTATTCCATATCATACAGGTCTTATAAAAAGCTCTAAAATATTTCTACGGATACTTTTATCAATCTTTCTGCAAAACTCTTGGTTTCCCTTGCACTCAGATATAAACTTACCTTTGCAAGGTTGCAGACACTTGTTAATTCTTCATCATGTGACATTTCATTTGTTGAGGAAATTTTCAAGAAGCCCCAGTTCTCAAGCAATAGTGTACACTTTCAACCTTATCCAATGCTTTTCCCAGGCTTCTATTTATTTCCATTTGAATAATCATGACTTTCTATATCCACAGATTTTTCAAAAAACATCCTCACAATTCATGAATTTATATTTTTCCTTCCTTAAAACAGCTTCAGAGTGTCTATAAAGGCAAACATCCAGATAATCAGCATTTCACACAACTGACAATCTGAACCAAAGATCTGTGCTCAAATCATACCCATCTAGTAACATCCATATGCCAACAACAAATAAGTAAGTTATTGCAAACCTAAAACTGACTGACACTATCCACTCAATATCACTACACAATCCAACTGTTTTATACAACTGCCTATGAAACCTACCCAAAAAATATCTAAAAGTTACCAGGACTACATACAAGATAACCCTTGTCCCTTCAGTACTGCAACAGATTTTTCCTATCACACAATACAAGATAACCCTCGTCCCTTTAGTACCACGACAAATTTTTCCTACCACAAAAATGGATCCACCTTACAAACTGGGAAGATCCGCCTTACAAACTGGGAAGAGCAAAGGATGCTTAAGGCTTAGGGCATATTTGATGTGCAATGCATTCAAGTTTCATCTGGCCATTTCCATGATTTACAGACATAATAAAGAAACTTTAAATTATCAAACAAATATTAATTTTCTTTTCCAATATGTTCCCTGGCTTGGGTTTGTGTATCAAAATACACTTCACTTCAATCAAATATTTTTGACTCCGTGGAAATGGTCAAATTTTTAGATGCAAAGAAAGACGTGTTTCATTGTGTATTCTTTGAAGTTTGATAAAAGTTTAAAACACATTGCAATTTTACTAATTTGATGTAAAACTGATAATTTCTCAACCTCCTTATACATGTTTATTGAACAAGTCTTTCTTTGAATAAAAAATATAACTGGAAAATTATGCTACATTTTGCTTCATGTTCTTTTAATTTGTCAAAAATGAAATTATACTAGTGAATAAATTTCAAAGAATATCAAAAATCTTAAGCATTCATTTGAAACATTACATCACTGATCCGTTGAAAGTCATGGAGCAAAATGAAAACATTGGTGACAATTTTCTCTGTATTTTGTTGAAGCTACTGACAAATTAACTGAACAGTAACCATTAAACATGATTAAAGTGACTCAGTAAAACAATCAGAGATAAGATTTTTCTTTTCTTCTTTTATTATCTCAAATACAAACTATAAAATCAATTAAAAAATCTCCTGCACATGCAGATCTTGTAAAAGTTTAATAAAAATTGCAATTTTTTTCATTATAATCTGTCCTTGGAGTTATAGGTCTGTCATTGAAACACAACACATATTTCCCCTCTATCAACTTTGTGGAGAGGTAGCTCTTGTTTCGCCAATACTGAATGACAGCATTTTTCTGTACTCTAGACCTCTGCTTAATGGGGATCTTGAATGTGCCAAGTGCAAGACTAAGGAGTGTATCATACGTCTCCTGATTCATGGTTCGTAATGCTCGTGAACCAGGTGTCAGGGGAGGGAATCTAGTAGCACTGCCAGCACTTAGGCTACTGATTGGGGGACCTAAAAGTAGAGGAGAAAACTCGGTCTGAGAATGTTGCCTTTCAAGATCCCATTCTACTTGAAAACAGAATAATCACCCTTAACCAGGAAAGACCTATACCAGATAATACACTGTACATCTCTGATGGTTTTATAGAGTCACATTTAAAATGTTTATCAATGAATATGCTGAAAGGTAACTATTTTCAGGACACGAAACTTGTGCTTCAGAAAATTGTTATCTTTCAATCACATAACAATAGCAGAAAGGGATTTGACATTCAGAAAATTCTTCAAACACCTGAATTATTTTGCTTTGGTGCATTAATATTTTGAATGCAATTATCCATTAATATTTCCAATTCAGTTATTATTAATACAAATTCACAAAACTTTCCAGCTTAATAGTGTCAAGTCCCTTTTTCCTGCCAAAAACTTGATAACCAAAAAGACACTAACCTCTAAAATTTCCCATGTACCAGTTTCCACTTTGATCCATACTCAAGTTGCCGCTTTCGTTTGACAATTCATCTCTTTGTAGATCTCCAGGTGGCTCCTCCACATCAAAATCACTCTGTTCCTCCTCATTTTGCCCATGGGTGGGGCCTGCCACACCCCCTCCTGCATTAGCCACGTACATGTCTAACATCCCCGTTTCTTCTGCCCCCACTTCATTCTCCACTTTTACTATGCTTATATCTGGTGACAATCTGTTTTGATCTCTAGCTTGAAACCTTTAAGAAATAATACCAAAAAGTCCTAAGAAAAAAATTTGTTTAAGGTTTCCCTACTGACCCTAATTTTAGGCTCCAACCAAATTTTTTTCCCTGAACTGTACAATGTAAAATCCAGAAATTACAATGTTTGTACGTTTTCTTTCAAACATAACACTTTATTGTTAAATAGGAGTGAAACGGTTCACCGCGGTATCGATGCACCGCGGTATTTTTTCTCGGTTTGATACACGGTGCAAAATCTCTAATTTTCGGTTCGGTTCATTTTTCGGTCGGGATCGTTATTCAGTCGGGTTTGAGATAGGGTGTAACACGTTACTCAGTATAAATAAGTATAGAAAACGTAAATTTTTGATAACTGATAGCTTGTAAAATAATTTTGGACAGTCAAATAATTTTAATCAATTTCTTGTAGTCAATTTGCAAATAAAATTTGTAAAATATGTGACTAGATTTAGAAAAAGAAAGCATAAAACAACGTTGAATTTGTTTCCTTCTATCAAAATGTATCGTATCAAAAATAACCGAACCGAGACAAAATTATACAATACGTATCGAACCGTGAAGGAGGTGTATCGTTTCACCCCTATTGTTAAAGCTGTCAGGTAGATTGTAAGAAAAAAAATTATGATTAGAAGAAAGCTTCCAACTGTCTTTAAAAAAAATGCATTTCAAAGTTATGCTTTCATGTAGAAAAAAAATTGAACAAGAGGCCCAAGGGCCTTAACGGTCACCTGAGTATAATACAACAATTTAGAAGTTAAATACACTGATAGTTGAAGCTTTGTTGCCCTAAAGCAAGAGAAGTAGGAAGATCAGGATCAACAAAATAATTAGTCTAGTATTCAGTATCAACTCATAAATTAAGTTCTAATCTGTCCCCCACTTAATACTATGCAGACTATTAACAAACTATTAGTGCTTCTGTACTATTTATAACCCATACTAAGACCTCTAGCATTGACCTCTCTTATGGTCTTTGAAGAACTTTTAATAAGATAAGTTATTTTTGTCTCATTTTTATTTATCTATAACTTACAGGTCTACCTGTTTATTAAAACTAAGAAAGTACTTTTTTAATTATACGATAAACATTCTTGCATAATTATCTTATTCTATTAACCTTTCAAATACATTATTTACAGTGATTAATTATCAAAGGTGAATGGAAAGGGGGAATAACTTCTCTCAGTAGAATACAAATTAATAGAGCCCTGCCCAGGACCAGAATGCTTAGACCAATGGTTCAGATGTTTAAAAATCTGGTAGAAATACGCTTACTCATATCATTTAAACTTTTACTCAGTTTGCTTCCAATATGTCCAGAAGCAGAGAAGAATTTCACAGGTACAATGCATTTTCACTACAGATTCAACAAAGCCTTACCCTAACACCAGAACCCAAGACCAAGGGTCAAGAAATTTACAAATTTGGAAGAGTTACCCTCATCATCATAACTATGGACTTCAAAGAATTAACACTTTTCCACTATATTATCAAAAGCCGCCCCCCCCCCCCCCCTTCGTTATGCCAGAACCCCTGACCCTAGGACCACAAGATTTAAAAATTCTGTTCGAAGCTCCCATTTTCATCATAGCTAAGCAATTTATTTATCAGCTCAACACAAAGGAGCAGACAGGATTAATTAATGATTAATAGAATTAATGCTTTTTCACTATATAATCAATAGAGCCCCCCCCTCAAGAACCCCAAAAACTGAGGCCATATATTTAAAAATTTTGGAAGAGGCATCCTTGCCTATCATAATCATGCACTTAGTTTGTTTATATAATCTCCAGTAGCAGAGAAGAAGATTTTCAAAGAATCAATGCATTTTCACTATATAATCTATAGAGCCCCGCCCTAACACCAGAACCCCTGACCCAGGGGCCAAGAAATTCACAATTTTTGAAAAGGCATCTTATGCATCATAACCATGTACTTAGTTTGTTTAAATAATACCCAGGAGCAGAGAAGAAGATTTTCAAAGAATTAAAGCATTTTCACTATATAATCAATAGAGCCCCGCCCTAACACCAGAACCCCTGTCCCAGGGGCCATGGCTTTCAAAATTCTGGAAGAGGCCCACCTCCTCATCATAACTATGTACTTAGTTTATCACCTTAATGCGCAGGAGCAGAGGAGAAGATTTTCAAAGAATTAATGCATTTTCACCATATAGTCGATAGAGCCCCGCCCTAACACCAGAACCCCTGACCCTGGGGCCATGAAATTCACAATTATGGAAGAGGTACTCTTGCTCATCATAACTATGTACTTAGTTACTTTATTTAATATCCAGTAGCAGAGAAGAAGATTTTCAAAGAATTAATGCATTTTCACTATATAATCTATAGAGCCCTGCCCTAACACCAGAACCCCTGACCCTGGGGCCATGAAATTCACAATTTTTGAAAAGGCACTTTTGCTCATCATAACTATGTACTTAGTTACTTTATTTAATGCCCAGGAGCAAAGAAGAAGATTTTCAAAGAATTAATGCTTTTTCACTATATAATCTATAGAGCCCCGCCCTAACACCAGAACCCCTGACCCTGGGGCCATGAATTTCACAATTTTGGAAGAGGCACTCTTGTTCATCATAACTATGTACTTAGTTCCTTTATTTAATACCCAGGAGCAGAGAAGAAGATTTTCAAAGAAATAATGCATTTTCACTATATATAATCAATAGAGCCCCACCCTAACACCAGAACCCCTGACCCTGGGACCATGAATTTCACAATTTTGGAAGAGGCACTCTTGCTCATCATAACTATGTACTTAGTAACTTTATTTAATAACCAGGAGCAGAGAAGAAGATTTTCAAAGAAATAATGCACTTTCACTATATGATTTATATACCCCCACCCTGGGGCTAGAACCCCTGACCCTGGGGCCATGAATTTCACAATTTTGATAGAGGGCTCCATGCTTATTACAATGATGCCAACAGTTTGACTGCTTGATGTCCAGGAGTAAAGAAGAAGATTTTTAAAGATTGCATTATTTTTGGTGGTTTTAGCCCCACCCCTCAGGCCCCAGGGGGGCAGGGACCATGAAATTCACAATTTTTGTTCCCCTTCACCCATAGATGCTATATGCCAAAATTGGTTGAAATTGGTTCAGTGGTTCTAGAGAAGAAGCTAAAAATGTTCAAAAGTTTATGACCGATTGACGACGAACGACGTACGACGAACGACGACAGACAAAAACAGATAGCAATAGGTCACCTGAGTGACTCAGGTGACCTAAAAAGAAAAACAAAATCCTATGCACCTACTCTATTTTTTATTAGCATGACATAATAAACATATCAGTATTTTTTTCTTAGGCCTTCATGGTTGTCCATAAGAAGTGAAATTCAAAGTGCAGTGATTGGGAAAGGCTTTTGCCATGCACCATTAAAGTGAAAGAGATGGCATATTAAATCAACCATTGGCAGCGCCAAGGTGGGCATTCTATTTTTAGCCATCGGAAATAGTTTGCATACGACTTTCTTAGCTGTTTAACTTTCATTTTAAATGCACTGATTTTAATACAACAAATCTCATTGGTTAAAATCTGTCAAAAACTGCCTCCTGTTATATGAAGCACTTGTTATTGGACAACAAAGGTATACTACCTCTCTCATTTAGAATGATTAATCTAAACTTTGATGATATTGATAAAAAAAGATGTACAAGTCATATTGTATGCAGGTTCCTTTAAATTATGCTTCACTGCATGCATGAAAAATTAGATTTAGTTAATAATGACTTTTCCTCCATACTTCAAATTTGTTTATCATTTCTTAAAATGGCCCATCAGAATATATAGATTATTTAAAATTAATTAATATTTAATATTTTTAATGATGATTTAGAGGCCCCCGGAGGGATTTCAAACCTCTACTTATCCAGATGTGAACTTCTACTAATTTCTAAAATTTTCTCTTTTTTGTAAAAATCAACATTATAGAACTTGTGCAATTTTTTTTAATCACACTATGTGAAATTGAATCTTATGTAAATCAACATTCATAAAAAAATGTGAATGAATTTTATGTATATAAACTATCTTACGATCTGTTTTACGAGGTCGGGATACATATCTAGGTATACAGGTATTTACCTTATACATGTTATACAGAGGAATAGAGGAAATTCAAATTAAGAAAAAACAAAAACATCTTTTCCAAGATAAAATAAATCATGTAGCTAAATCAATCAGACACAGGAGATATATGAACAATAGAACCATTGCTGCTTTGAATCTTTTTTCTGACTGGGAAGTTTAAAGCAAAAGTTTGAGGAAAAAACCTGCTTTTCAGCATTGTGAATAGGGCTGAATTTCGGCACCCTACTCTCAAACTGCCATAAAACGAAATCCTGGTTATAGTTAAAATTTATAACTGGATTAGAAATCACTTGATAAGTGTTTGAGAAAGTAATTAAAGAAATATGCAAATATTGAGATTTTCATCAAGTGCCAGAATAACTGGGGAATTACTTCCTTACGGGCGGGGAAATTCTTAGGGACAACTATGCAGACTTACATTTACTGCACAATATTTTTATATATTTTGAAACTTGAACTTCAAATTAAAAACAAAAAGTACAAAAATTTGTACAGAGCACACTATTTGAAAAATTCTTTGTCTTACTAGAACATGTAGAAAATGGCAACATTGTTTTGATTCAGATACTTTAAAAAAATTCTTTCTATAGATCTGATATTGAAACCATCATTAACTTCACTCACCCTGAATCTTGTGACCTTTCCATGGGAGAGGATTTCTCTGTGCTTTCAACTCTGCTGATTGTGTGTGGTTTAGAGCTTCTCTGAACTGTACTAGGAGACAAAGACTCTGCCTGCATGGCACTGCCTGCTGCAAAAGATTTCTGTTGGAAAGTGGGGGGTACTGACCGAGAGGAGGCTGTCATTGCTACAGGGTATGGCTGAGTGGAGGGGGACGCAACCACTGTTTCAGGTGGTCGGGGTCTTGGGGCTGAAATTTCAACATCGGAACTCAGATCTGGGAGATTTGAAGTCGACTTCTCTAGATCTGGCTTCGGCTGAAAATTCTGGTTGCTGTAGTGAGGTGGCCTCTCTTTCTGGGAGGAGGAATCTGAAGATGAGGGAGAACTTGGAATGAATGTGGTAGATTCTGAGGCTGTTTTCTGACTAGGAATATCTGTAGCACCAGGTACATTGACAATCTGAACATCTGCAGGGGCATCCCTCTGACTAGCTACTGACACCCCCACTGTGCTCTGCACCTTTCTAAGCTCTCTGCCATCATCCCCTGGCCGTTTTCCAGGAGGCTCTGTCTGTAGTAACTCAATACTATCCTCTATGATATCAATCACTCCTGGCTGCTGACTGGGTACGTGGACGGATGTGGGGGTAGAGCTGTGAGATCCCAGCCTCGGCACCCTGTCCCAAGGATCATTCACAGTGTAACTTTCTTTCATTCCAGACATATCATGAGTTCTTGAATCTGACATAGGACTTGACTGTCTTTGAAATCTTGGCCGTTTGGTGCCTGGGCTTATTGGTCTGTCTGTGCCGCGCTTTGGGTGCCTGTCATGAACTTTCTGAAGCTCTGTCGTTCTCACATGCTTAAATTCGAGCTGATCTGGATAGTTGTAACGATACTGATTGGCTGAAGAAGTACTTATACACTTGATAAAGTCTGCACAACATTTGATTGCATTTTCAACTTGGAGAAGTCTAGAAATTTTTTCAATGTCTTTGTAGTTGTCTTCATTTAGTGTCATGAATCCCTCGTATAGATATTGCAGGAAAGTGTTGACAGAATCTTGTTTGATGTCTGCAGCAAGTCGTACCTCTAAATGTGAACCAGCTGCTGCATTTTCCATGGATTGAAGCATTGGACAAGCAGCAACCAAAACAACACGATGAGCCTAAAAATTAATGTGGAAAAGTGATATCTAGTTCCAGAAGGAATAAACCTTATAAATACGTAAATCATATGCAATATATTGTAGTTGATATCAGTTATCATATCATAATTCATCTGATCGCAAAATGGCATTTACGAAAAAGTATGATTGTTGCTGTAAATAATTTTATTCGAACAAAATAGCTCACTTTCCAATACATCATCTAGAGCCCTTGTACAGTGTTTTCTCATACATAAAATTACTACCAACTTTTAGCAGTTTCCATAGTTTTTTTTCAGTATTGAGGAGTAAATGGTGTCAAGATTTCACCAAATTAATTAATCAAAATTTATCTTAACTTCATCAAATAAACTTTGTAACAAATATTTTAAATACGAGCTACTATTACATATAGCCTCTGGTGTTGATGATGCAAGTAAATCAACTACTAACACAGTTACTCCTTATTCAATTGCCTTGTTAGGCCTATTAATCATGCTGACAAGACAGAAATTTTCGGAGAGAACACAAATTATTCAAAATATCCCAAAATATTGATGATTTTCCCCCCAAGTCAATGCCATAGGGTAGCTTTTAGCATAAAGGTCATGTTAGCTATGCAAGTTGAATTAACTATAAAGTAGCATGATTTTGTTTATTCAAAATAGCTTTATATAGCTATTCTATCTTACCCCTTTCTTTCAATAATGCAGAAATTTCTCAGCAGGTAAAAAAGTTACATTGTAGAAATGCGAGTATTCAAATTTATATTGTTCTAAAAACATTGTATAAAAATAATCACTTTTTTAAATGTACCTCCTTCAAGGCATTTACAATTGAATTTCTGAAAGTTTGAGACTATATGAAGCTACTGATCTGGATCGAACAGTTAGTTCTGAGTAAAATTATAAAAGTTTAACAAGATACTTGATTGGTAATAATCACAATGTATAGTAATTACTGAGCCTAAAAATTAATGTGGAAAAGTGATATCTAGTTCCAGAAGGAATAAACCTTATAAATACGTAAATCATATGCAATATATTGTAGTTGATATCAGTTATCATATCATAATTCATCTGATCGCAAAATGGCATTTACGAAGAAGTATGATTGTTGCTGTAAATAATTTTATTCGAACAAAATAGCTCACTTTCCAATACATCATCTAGAGCCCTTGTACAGTGTTTTCTCATACATAAAATTACTACCAACTTTTAGCAGTTTCCATAGTTTTTTTTCAGTATTGAGGAGTAAATGGTGTCAAGATTTCACCAAATTAATTAATCAAAATTTATCTTAACTTCATCAAATAAACTTTGTAACAAATATTTTAAATACGAGCTACTATTACATATAGCCTCTGGTGTTGATGATGCAAGTAAATCAACTACTAACACAGTTACTCCTTAATATTTACATTTCCAATGTCTTTGTCCGAGATAAAATTACAAATTGTAAAAATACTTTATTTCTACATAAATCTACTGGTTCATCGATAGGCGCGGTTAAAAAAATCACGTGCGGGGCGGGACAAATAGAGACAGAAGCGGGGCTATTAGCACGGGAATTTGCAGAATCAGGAGCATGTAAATATAAGGAATAACTGTCAGATTTTTTGGATTCATGACGATGATCAATCGATTGGCTTGCGTGATAATTTTATACATAAACGCCTTCGGCGTTTATGCAAATTATCACGCAAGCCACTCGATTGATCACATCATGAATCCAAAAAATTAGACAGTTATTCCTTAATTCAATTGCCTTGTTAGGCCTATTAATCATGCTGACAAGACAGAAATTTTCGGAGAGAACACAAATTATTCAAAATATCCCAAAATATTGATGATTTTTCCCCCAAGTCAATGCCATAGGGTAGCTTTTAGCATAAAGGTCATGTTAGCTATGCAAGTTGAATTAACTATAAAGTAGCATGATTTTGTTTATTCAAAATAGCTTTATATAGCTATTCTATCTTACCCCTTTCTTTCAATAATGCAGAAATTTCTCAGCAGGTAAAAAAGTTACATTGTAGAAATGCGAGTATTCAAATTTATATTGTTCTAAAAACATTGTATAAAAATAATCACTTTTTTAAATGTACCTCCTTCAAGGCATTTACAATTGAATTTCTGAAAGTTTGAGGCTATATGAAGCTACTGATCTGGATCGAACAGTTAGTTCTGAGTAAAATTATAAAAGTTTAACAAGATACTTGATTTGTAATAATCACAATGTATTTAGTAATTACACTTATCTGTGCCTCATGGCACACTGGCAGTTGATGTTACCAAAACAATGGAAGCACATCCTTTGCTTAAAAGTGTTCAAAAACTACAAAGCTTAACATGTTTTAACTATTTTTTGATTTGGGTTGCTTTTCTAATAGTTATGAGTAGTAACATAGTTTCCACCTTTGGTCTATATCTTAGGCCAAAAAAATAATAGTCTTGTTTCCTGCTACCAGCCTGAAAAAAGTAGGGTAGGTAGGAAGGAAAATTATTCTATTTTTTTCCGACTGCATATTTTGGATAAGAACTAATACAAGCATACATGTGACAGAGTTGAACTCTCACAACTGGAGATTTGAAATTTTCAGCGGGAGTTTTGGTCTCAAAACTGGAGATTTTTTATCGACATTTTTTTTAATCGCAAAACACTATCCGCACCCCTAAATTTAGGGAAAAATTTACTTTAGAAATATCTCTTTCATCAGTATCAAAAAAAAAAAAAAAAAAAAAAATTGAAAGATTGGCAAACTTCACCCCTCACAGTTTATTACAGTAAATCAAAAATATTTGATAAAATTGTTGTCTGATTAAAAAGAAAAATATGACAAAGTTTTTAACAAGTGAAGTGAATTTTATATTCATTTATACTAATATATCTACTTGCTTGTAGTAAAGTAAAACATGGGTTTAATGTACCAAATTATATGTCAGTAATTTTAAAAATAGAAATGTTATCCTGTCAAACATGCACTGTGACAGATATTTAAACTGAAAATACTATCTTAAAAAAAAAAAGAGAGTCAGGCATATTTTTTTTATGAGTTTCAGCAACACCCTGTAGTTTGTTCTATTTTTAACTAGAATGTGATATACAACAGTATTTTTCAATGACCACTGCAGCATTAAAAGATGATATAAGTAAAGTTTAGCAACTAATTACAATGTACTGCATACAGTAATAAACATCAGTGGTCATTTACGACGTGTTATATTGCTTATTTTTACAACCTATTTATAAGACCTTGTGTAAATTACTAAAAAGCCTACTGCTGTGAAAATTTATTGCACTGGCATTGTTATCTCAATTTTGTTCACACTGAGTAATTATATGAAACTTGATAACAATTAAGTCAAATAATGATTAATGTTATGGTTTTTCAAAACACGGAAGATTTAAGAATTAATCAGGAGTGACGGAAGGGGGGGTGGGGGTTAAAATATCGGGAGATTTTGTCTCCTGCCTGTGTATGATACAAGATCAGATCAAACATGTCACAGGTCAATATTGTCTTTTAAAATTAAATTTCATGTCTTTTGATGCACAACTCAAGTGGTTTTTTATGAAAGTTTATATTTAAAACATAGAATTTCATGAAATGTTGTTTTGTGTCAACACGGAAACCGATTACAATGACAGAACGATGAAATTCTGGAAATTCCTGGTTTTTTTTCTTCCAAACTAAAAAAAAAAATTTAGAGTCAGGTCCAAAAATAGGGTCGTTCGGGTAGCAGGAAACAAGACTATTTTTTTTTTTGGCCTTATTAAAAAAAAAAGGAATATTTGTGAAAAGACTGTATTTAAATAGCTTAATCAAGTCATTTTTACTAAATTGTTTGAGCTAAATATGCCTTTTTCAAGTTATATACCTTAAAATCAAGATATTGTTGCATACCTGATCTTTTTGATAATGTTCAATAAATCTATCACCTGACCACATTTAATTCATTAATGTTGCACATTGTGTTTCTTGTGGACTTACTTTTGTAATAACGCTGCCAGTCCGAATAATAGCATCACATAGGGTCTGCGTCTTCCACATAGTGGCCAGCTGGTACAGCAATGAGCTGGAGTGTATATGATTCATGTATGTCTTCTGATAATTCATCCTGAAGTTGCGATGTGACTAGCTAGTCAATAAATCTATAAAAAAAAAAAAATTAAAAACAAAAAAAAGAATATCACAATAAAGAAAATGTTAAGAGAGAGTATCAGTGTTTTCCCCAAGAACTGGCTACCTGCCAAACACTCTCTACCATCGGCTCATACATTCACCTCTGTCGTTGGCTCGCGTATATCACAGTGATAAGCACGAGAAATAGTGCGTTTGTTTAAATTCATTATAATTAAATGCCTGCACTAATATTCCTCTTTTAATGTAGATATTTTCTAAGTATATCTAGAACTATTAGTTTAATTTGAAATAATCTTTGGAATGTCATGCTTTTTACATTATGTCAAAAATCTTGACATGAGCCCATTGCAGAGGTGTCTAAGAGAGAAACAAACTACAACTCTGCAAGGGAGATTGCCGGCCAAATTGACCACTTCAAATGATAAAAATGCTGCTTAGAAATCTATTTTTTTAATTGTTGTAAGATCTATAGAGGTTTTGTTCATAAACCTCACCCCTAGCCTGTTACAATTGATCTCTAACCCTTTACTTTGAAATAAAGAGAAAAAACTGCAGAGAATAGGGGCGGAACAGCTAAAGTCGGACAACATCGAATGTCGGACACTCTTCTTTTTCAGAATAAAATCATTACTATATTTAGTGTCGTTTGTATTTTTCTTAAGCATGTGTTAAGTATCTCTGTTTACAGGGTGTTATTGGTTGTTTCATTCAAATGTAAGTCATGAAAATGTTTGAAATAACCTCTAAAATTCGTCGGGTACATACGCATCTCACGGATCCGGATAAAAACTCGCATGCGCAACACATAGTGATCCTTGGCGAAATCTTCAGTTTGCTGTCTGTATTCTGTGATTGCTAATATATTTTGTAATTAAAGCATACTTTTACATGATAAATATTAACTGTTCCCTTAATAATAATAATTTGGTGGATATTTATTTATAAAAACCATTAAAATTAAACTGTCCGACTTTACATTCTGGGTCATTTAAAGTCGGACAGAGGAGAATTTAAAGTCGGACAACACACAATACATTGTTTTTTAATTGTCAATTTTCTTAAAAACTAGAACAATTTATTAACATTTCGAAAAAAAAATTTAAAAATACGGTATGGGATGGGATTTGAACCCGGAACCTTATTATGTAATATAATTTACCGGTAATTTAAGAGTATTTTCGCTTTTGCAATTCAAATTCTGCATGCTGATTCCCTGCAACTTTTAGGAAGGAAGAAATAAAAAAGATACATCTACCTAAAGAAATTTTCATTTCAGAAAAACAATGAAAAACACCTATAAAACCAAAAAACATCTCGAAGAATTTTAACAGAGAAATGAGAAATATTGGAACTGAGGAAAATAAAAGAAGAAAAGGCCGCGAAAAAGTCTAAAAAAAAAAAAAAAAAATCAACACAAATATTTTTTTTCACGGCTTTATTTTAGTTTCATGTTTATAACTCGGCACTCAGTTTCATTGTTTATTTTGAAAAAAAAGAACTTTCCTTGTTGAAAAATAAAATTAGTTCCATAGATTACTGATTCCACTTTAAAGATTGAGGGATATATAGTTTTCTCCTTTCCGGCTATCTGTCTTATAATCATTATATAATAAAATGGGTTTAATTTTGGAAACAATTTAAACCTTAAAATTTATTCACACGATAACGCATTGGTTTATAGATTGCAAGATACTATATGTTCATTTAAATTTCTTGGTCTAAATGGAAAGTTTATCTAAATAATCCATACAATGACTACTAAGTTTATTACGTAATAATCACTTAAATGTTCACGAAGTTTGCCCAGGCACGTAGTATCGTATTTGAAAGTGGGGGGAGGGGGCAGCCAAATAAAAAAAAATCAACTTACCTGAAGAAAAAAAATGACGAGCAAAAAAAAAAAAAAAAAAAAAAAAGAGGGGGGTAATTGTCCAAATTCAAAAATCCTATTTCGGGGGTTAGTGGGAGGGTTCCAACTTCTTTCAAAACCAAATTTTATTCATACATTACCAGATTACCCTGATTTGACTATACTGCAACAAAAAAAGGTGGTGGTGGGGCAACCAGCCTTTCATTGAAAATTTTCAATAGTGAAAAGTAATGCTTGGGAAAAAAGTGAGCCCCCCCCCCCCCCCCCCCCTACGTGTCCTACTCTCTAACTATGATTTAGCCTTAAAAAAAATGAAGAAAATTGGACTTTAAATGTCGAAACCAGTATGTGTCCGACTTAAAATTCTACATGTCCGACTTTCACTGTTGATGTCCGACTTTATCAGCCCTTGCCTTCCCGTGTTTGGTTTTGATTTATAACATTACAAAGCTTTTAACCAATGAAAATTAAGAATAGAAAGAGGGTAAAAACATCATTTTATGTGATGTAAAAGTTTCCGGTTATAAGTGAAGAGTTTGGAGCGTTTACCAAAGGTGCAGACGAGGGGGTCCGAAAAACCGTCCGACTTTCGCTGCCTCTCCCCTAGTGCAAAATATTTGCCAAGTGGACAAAAAGATCACGTGATTTACATTCTCATTATTTATGCAGAGTTTATACCAGAGTAGAGTTGTCCAAGACTTGAAAATCAATTCTTTGTTGTATTTCAATCATGATACAAGCTAATTGAAAGGAATTTTCCCAGAGCGTACATTTGGCATTCAATATGCTTCCTTCTAAATCTCGACAATATGGCTTCCCCATTTTGACCTAAATAATTTATGCTTTCGAATACACCTCGTGCTCTACTCTGCATACCAAGTGTACCTATTCAGATTGCATTCTTTGAGAAGCTTTACATGTTTTCTAATTATACAAACCATGAACACTGTGTATGCTGCAGATGTAAGAGATATTTCTTTCGGTTTTCGTTTACTGTTTACACCTTGGTCTAATTACAACATTTCTATGCGCATAAATGTCGCGCATCTTTGTTCTTTTTTTAAATATGAGTTTTTCGATCCCGATCATATAATATGTTGACGGTGCGACCGTTAGGGCGAGCGCAGACCTATATTTATTCAGGTTTAATTTAGATCGGGCTCGATCGTCAAACTGCATGTGACATTTCACGTCTAGACTCTGACGTCATATGACGTCGTATTTAGGTTGCATTACCAAACCGAAGCCGGAACATTGTTGACTTTAAAGAAGAACGTTTTATTTACTATTTATCTGCAATATATCCATTAAATCAAGACGAATTTATTTTTTTTGTTAAACTGTTGTTGTTATTCTCGCGAGAACGTAGCTTAAACAAGCGATGCATTGTGGGTCCAAAAGTTACTGTGGAAAAAAATTCGTTTGGATCAATGTGTAAGTCCGAATTTTCTCTTCGCCCAGGCGTTGTCGTTAGAGCTCGCTAATATGTTGACGGTGCGACCGTTGGGGCGAGCGCATTGTTCACTTCATTTTAAGATCCGCCTCTTCAAACCGCACGAGACATTTGGAACGTCCAGACTGTGACGTCACATGACGTCGTATGTTAGCTGCATTTCCATAAACAAAGTTTAAAAAGTGCAAATATTTTAACAAAGAACGTTTAATTAATCTACTATCTGCATGCAATAGCCATTAATTAAGGTGAGTTTATTTTTTGTGAAATTTTAGTTGTTGTCACCGCGTGAACGAAGTTAGCAGCGAGAACAAGAAGCGATGCATTGTGGGTCAGAATTACTGCGGAAAAAAATTCTATTGAATGAATGTGCAGTAGTCCGAATTTTCTCTTCGCCCAGGCGTTGTCGTTAGAGCTCGCAGTGACGAGCGGCGCTTCGCGCCGCTCGCTGCGCTCGCTATAATTCTTGTTCGAGACCATCTATCTTACCATGGGAAAGGGAAATGATCTTGGGCTGTCCAGAACTCTTCTTTTTTGAATGTCCAGACCCCTGCTTTTTTATTTCTTCTTTTTTAAATTAAAGCGATACAGTTAATATGTTTTACGGTGTGACCGTTGGGGCGAGGGCAGTTGCACCATCAGAAAAACGTTTACACAACTTACACTTGTAAACTTTGATCCGCCTCTTCAAACTTCCAAACCGCACGAGATACAGTCTAGACTGTGACGTCACATGACGTCGGAATTTACGGAGACAGTCGAGCGTCTGGTTGAACGAGACTACAGGCCTAGTGTAATTTTTAACGAGATACGTTGTATAGTAAATGCAATTATTTTTTGTTAATTTTAAACTCTCAGCAAACTGAAGGTCTTTTATATTTTATTTTATTTTATATTCGCCATTATCGCATGGAATCCTGGTAGTGAGGGAATTCTGGGAAGGTTTCACTCCAAAATTTGCCTGACGTATATGTCATTCCGAATTTCCTCTGTTCATTGAGCTCGCTGCGCTCGCTATAAATTGTAAATCCTCTGCTTGAGGACAGCCTCCCGCCAATATATAGACCTTTGAAGGCTTTTTCGACTTTTTTTCCACATAAATTATTTTACAATGACATTTTTGTGAAATTTTTGTTCTCTGTTTTTGTTGGGAGGGGGTATATCAGTTCCATGCATTATAATAGGACTCGAGTCCCCCCCCCCCTCCTCCCGAATTTACCGAGCTGTTCAATGACAAATGTGGCATTTCCTTTTAAAGATTTTTTTATCGGTTACGACAGTAGGAAGATTATAACTTTGTCAGTAGTTATATCTTTATTAAAATTATTTAAACTCAAGTTCAGTATTTAATACATGTGTATTGCACCGACCTGTTATACATGTGTTGTAGACGTATAGCCGGTGTTAATGATAAAGAATTAAAACACATTAAAGGAAATATTCCAACAAAATCCATACGCGGATGAATGAGGGCACTATCCCTCCGTTTCCCAGAGAGAGAGAGAGATGACAGGGATAGTGTCATAAACTTTACACCTTATTTCAAACTGCATATACCAGAACGCTATTGCAGAATTCTCGTGTTTTTATCGTTTTTTTTTTTATTTTATATGTCAAATACTTTGAAATACTTACCTAAATTCAGCATGTTCAAAAATGCTTACGAAAAATATACTTTTGAAAATACTGTTTTATACCTGTAAGTAAGAAGAGGGAGAATTGCTAATGATAATTAATAACTAACTATACACATATTGTTGACAGTTCTAATTTGGCCTTGCACATTTTTATAGCCCCGCTCCCAGGGAGCAGGGTATACTGTTTTACCCTTTGTGTCTGTCTGTCTTTGTAGCCGTGTGTCTGTGTGTCTGTCCGTAACAAATCCTCCAACTTCCTGTTTATCTTTGCGTCTGTCCGTAATAAATTTTAGTTGCAATCTTTTTCAGTAACTACTCATCTCAGATGCTTGAAATTTTTTGCACACTCTTTGTCATGGAATTCAATTTTGTACAAATTTGATGTCAACTTCCTGTTTATCCGTGTGTCTGCTCGTACCAAATTTTCGTCGCAGTTTTTTTAGCAACTACTCATTGCAGACCCTTGAAATTTAAGCACACTCTTTGTCTAGGCATGTCATGTGTTTGGATCCATGAGAGCATATATTTACATCAGGGCGGGGGTATTACTAGTGAGCATTGCCTCACAGACCTCTTGTTTTATATGTAAATCAGAATTTGTGCCTATTTCAAGTCTTGTTATTGTGTATAATTACAAACAAAATTGATAGTTTTGCTGGTGGAATTTGCTTATTTTTGTATATGTCCTGGCCAATATCTGACTAATGAATGCAAATAGTACTATCATCTACTATGAATATACATTTTTGTTCACAGATGTGAGTGAAATTAATTGAAGATTTATTTACATTATGTACCTTTTGTGTACAATTTATGATATACATTAGAAGAACCCTTACTAAATGTTCCATAATATGCTTTGAACATGAAAATATTTTTTTTAAACATTTGTTTATTGCATATGAAAACAAGATGTGTTTGTGAAACACTGATGCCCCGTATGGTAACTTATAGCGAAGGTTAAACTTTCTCAAATGCAAATCAAATATGATGGTACCCAAATTAAGTAAGGTCTTATCTCGAGGAATATACCTGTGAAATATGAAAACTCTAGCAGCAACCATTGAAAAGACATGGAAAAGGTTAAAGTTTTTCAAAAGTAGGTCAAACTCCAATGCCACGGTCAAAGGGTCAAAGTTGTTGGTATCCAAAGGAAGGTCTTGTCACAAGGATTGCATATATGAAGTATGAAAGCCCTAGAAGCAACTGTTAAAAATGGCCAAGGTTAAAGTTTTTTTCAAAAGTAGATCAAACTCCAAGGTCAAGGTCAAAGGGTCAAAGTTGTTGGTATCCAAAGGAAGGTCTTGTCACAAGGATTACAAATGTGAAGTATGAAAACCCTGGCATTAACCTTTCAAAAGTTATAGCCATTGTTAATGTTTTTTAAAAGTAGGTCAAACTCCAAGGGCTTGGTCAAAGGGTCAAAGTTGTTGGTATCCAAAGGAAGGTCTTGTCACAAGGATTGCATATATGAAGTATGAAAGCCCTAGAAGCAACTGTTAAAAAATGGCCAAGGTTAAAGTTTTTTCAAAAGTAGATCAAACTCCAAGGTAAAGGTCAAAGTTGTTAATATCCAAAGGAAGGTCTTGTCACAAGGATTACAAATGTGAAGTATGAAAACCCTGGCATTAACCTTTCAAAAGTTATAGCCATTGTTAATGTTTTTTAAAAGTAGGTCAAACTCCAAGGGCTTGGTCAAAGGGTCAAAGTTGTTGGTATCCAAAGGAAGGTCTTGTCACAAGGATTACAAATGTGAAGTATGATATCCCTAGCACCAACCGTGCAAAAGTTATAGCCAATGTTAAAGTTTTTTTTTTCAAAAGTAGGTCAAACTCCAAGGGCTTGGTCAAAGGGTCAAAGTTGTTGGTATCCAAAGGAAGGTCTTGTCACAAGGATTACAAATGTGAAGTATGATATCCCTAGCACCAACCGTGCAAAAGTTATAGCCAATGTTAAAGTTTTTTTTTTCAAAAGTAGGTCAAACTCCAAGGGCTTGGTCAAAGGGTCAAAGTTGTTGGTATCCAAAGGAAGGTCTTGTCACAAGGATTACAATTGTGAAGTATGATATCCCTAGCACCAACCGTGTAAAAGTTATAGCCAATGTTAAAGTTTTTTTTCAAAAGTAGGTCAAACTCCAAGGGCTTGGTCAAAGGGTCAAAGTTGTTGGTATCCAAAGGAAGGTCTTGTCACAAGGATTACAAATGTGAAGTATGATATCCCTAGCACCAACCGTGCAAAAGTTATAGCCAATGTTAAAGTTTTTTTTCAAAAGTAGGTCAAACTCCAAGGTCAAGGTCAAAAGGTCAAATATGATGGTACCCAAAGAAAGGTCTTGTCACAAGGAATATACATGTGAAATATGAAAGCCATAGCTTCAACCAATCAAAAGTTATGAGCAACGTAAAAGTTTTTGAGGACAAACAGACCAACAGACAGACAGACGGACGGACAGGGCAAAAACTATATACCCCCGAATCTTCGATACGGAGGCATAAAAATATGCATGATAGCATATCACCCATGCAAGTTAATTTGGTCCAGGTAAGGCTTATAGCTACTTGGGAATGGACTTGCTCCAAAAAATTTAACCTGGTCATTCATCTGGAAAATCTAGGTCAGATCCAGCATCCGAGGCAAATGTGGTAGTGTCTATCCCTAGATGCATCATCCATGCAAGTTTGGTCCAGGTAGGGCTTATAGTTACAAGGGTATGGAATACTGAACTATTATAAATAATACGTGGCAATGACCTCTCTTGAGTTCTAGATCTTTGTAAACAATTTAGTGAACGTTCATACCTACATGTTCTGTACAAGTACATCCCAAGATATAGAATATTTGATGCATAATCTAATTTACATGAATGCTTTAGCATTTCAGAAACATTTTTAGTACCATAAAAACCCTTTTACGATTAATTGTCTTTATAAA